CTTCCTCCTTCCCTTTCTCCTTTCTTTTCTCCTTCCCTTCCCTTCCTTTTCTTCCCCTTCCTCCTTCCCTTCCCTTTCTCCTTTCTTTTCTCCTTCCCTTCCCTTCCTTTTCTTCCCCTTCCTCCTCCCCCTCCCCTCCGCCCTCCTTTCCCTTCCTTTCCTCTCTCCCTTTTTCCTCCCTTCCATTTGATACGCCTGCCCCGTGACTCTGGGCAGCTATTAAAACCACAACAGCCAAATAAAATTAACCACAATGCAATGAAGCCAAGTGGCTTCGGGGACATCCTTCAATTCTACATAAAACCAGGGTCACCTTAACATTCCAGCTCCTTGCCAGGGGCAAAACCATGATATCAAAAGCTTTTTTGGAAGACCACTGCCCAAATTAATGGCTGGTAGGCCTGAGATGGGTAAATTCAGCCCTGGGGGTCTCATTCGAAATCTCAGCTGCCTTCGCCACCATCCGTCGTAGACTCTGGAGGTTGGAAGGGGGAGGGCAGTAGTAATTCTTCTCCTTCCTCCTCCTGGGAGTAGACGGAGGAAGTGACCAGATGGAGGGGTCAAACACGCCACAAGTCACGAGTCCCTTCACACTCAGGAGAGATCTGTGTCCAGCCCACCTCATTTCCCTTCCCGGTCAGTTGGCCAGATTCTTATAGAAAACTTAAAATTGCACTCAATCTTTATACTCCTCTGAACAGCCCCAATCTCCTGCTTTCCTGGCAGTCTGAACCACCTGCTCCCAGGAGGGTGGACTGTGCCCTGCTCTCTCCCCCCCACACCTCCACCCCCCACGCATCTCCACGCCCATCAACACAGGGCCAGGCATTCTAAGTACGTGGGGATTCCAGCCCCACCTCTGGACCCTGCACCAAGGAAGCGATGCAGCCGGGGTGCCAGAAGGGATCAGGCTGTGCCAGCTCAGCCTTAGCAAGGTGGGGCAGCTGGCTTCGGATGCCAACTGGGGCCATGGATGTCTTCCATCTGGGGTTCTGGATGGGCCCCTTGGAGTCCACTGGCTCCTCCTGGACCCACGGATCATCCTGCTTGAGGGGGAGGTGGCCTCCGTGGCCGGGAAGGCCTCTGCCCACTTCTCTGCTGTGGCAATAGTGCCCACTCCTGGATCAGGAAGCCCTGCTCCCTTGATGCCTCTCCATAGGACCCCTGGAAGTCCTTGACTTACAACAGTTGCTTTAGTGTCCCAAAGGTGCTTTTTTCAGGAGGCAACTGGACTTTCCGGATTTTTTCCTTTTGAAGAGGTTTTGCCTCTCATCCAAGGAGCTTCCTCAGTTCTGACTGGTTGATGGGGAATGGAGGGATTGACGCTCCTTGCAGACAGCTGGTCGTTTGCATCCTTCGAGAGGGTCGACCTACCTGGCCCAAGGGGTAGCTATCGCCACCGTCTCCCCCCAGCCTCTTTCTATCCGGTAGGATTCACCAAGGAGAGACCCCTTCAGGTCCCACCCTTGAAGGCATGTTATCCTCAGGCACCCCACCCCCCAGATGGGCCTTTTCTTTTCTCCCCCCCCCCCAGACACCCTCCTTTGAAATCCCCAAAGTGCTTTTTCCAAAAGGCAACTGGACTTCCTTGGGGTTTTTTTTTTCCCTTTAAAAGTTTCGCTTCTCATCTAAGAAGCTTCTTCAGTTCTGAATTGAACTGAAGAAGAAGAAGAACTGAAGAAGCAGCTTCCTGGAGCATTTTCAAGGTGGGGGGGGGAGACCCAAGAAAGTCCAGCCTGCCTTTTGGAAAAAGCACCTTTGGGACAACCATGACCCGGATGGACGATGGATGAACCTCTCGTGGGATTGCAGCCCACCTGCCTCAGGACAGGGCAGACAGACAGACACACCCTATAAGGCAGTGTTTCTCAACCTTGGCGACTTTCAGTCCTGTGGACTTCAACTCCCAGAATCCCCCAGCCAGCTATGCTGGCTGGGGGGGTCTGGGGGTTG